ATTTTACCCAGTTTTTAGAGCATCTGCATTTATTTTAACTGTATCTAGTCACATGAGGCTACATGTAGAATATTAAACTTGTGGCATCATATCCATATTCAAAACATTTCAGATTATAAAGCATATTAGATTTAAGAATTTTCATTTCTTTCCTTTTTTTTTCTTATAGTTTCTTAGTAGTAATTTGTTTTTCTCTGTGATGGTTTCAGATTGAGAAACTGGATGCCCGAGGGATCCAGCTTGCTGCCCTATTCATGAGTGGGGTTGACACAGCTCTGTTTGCTAATGATGCGTGTGGCCAGCCAGTCCCTTGGGAGCATTGTTGTCCCTGGATTTACTTCGATGGCAAACTGTTCCAGAGCAAGCTCATTAAAGCAGGCCGAGAGCGAGTATCCCTGGTTGAACTTTGTGATGGACAGGTACCAGCACACTGAGCAGCTGCTAAGGGCCATCTCTGATTTGTTATGGGAATAAATGAATGGGCAGGAGGGGAAAGGAGTGGTAGAGAGCAGATGAGGGACAATGTATCTGACTTAACCATATTTAATCAACATGGTCCCCAAAGCCTATATTCTAATATATGCCTGCTATAAAATCCTATGTTGGGAAGTTGGAGGGTTTTTCCTTAGCTTAAAGTTTTTATAATCTTTTTGTTACTGGGAGTGTTTCTTCTCCATGGAATTCCCACATACACTATGTGCCCTTCCTTAAACTATTAGGATTTCTTTTCTCTTATTGACAAACACCATAAGTCACTTTTGCAAGTGATATTTTTTTTGAAAAAAAAGTTTAGAAATAGAAATAGTAGATGACAGAGTAGATTTTGCAGTCTGACCTTGGGAAAAGTAAAGAAAAGCAAGGGAAAGGAAACCTTACTCAATCGTTTATCTGTTTAGTAGGGAATAGGCTGAGGTATTAGATCAGAGGTGAGCAAACTACTCCTATACTGCCTCCTGTTCTTTTTAAACATTTTATTAGAACATGGCCACATCTACTCATTTCCGTATCTGTGACTTCTGTCATGCTAGAATGGTATGAGAGTAGCAGTGGCAGACACAGTGTAGCCTACAAAGCCTATTTATTTTCCTACCCTTTTCAGAAGTATAGCAACCTCTGGGACTAACTATGTTTGTACCCTGATCAGAGCTCAAGTCTCCAAACCTGAATATAGGAGAAATAGTTAAAAGGCTTTACGTATATCTAGTTTTTTTTCCCTTGACTCTCTAGTTGTGTTACCTCTTCCTTAAAATAATGGCCTAGCCTATTCTTCATGCAGTCAAGCTTTTGGTGATGTCAACTCCTATTGTTATATTTGTTTGCATTGACATAGATAATGTGCCTCACAAGCTGTTGGTCAGAACTAATCTTATGCAGTGTGGTTTCCTTGAAGAGTGGGGTCTTTAATGCCCTGGCAGGCTTCCTGAGGTTGTAGTCTCTCATAAAATTGTAAGAGTGTGTCTAGAGTATTCAATACTATGTCTAAAACATGGGGAAAGTTTGAGAAATGGTGGCTGCTATTATTCTTTTCCTCATTTGAAGGCTGACCTGGCAAGCAAAGTGGAAAAGATGAGGCAGAGTATCCTTGAAGGAGTCAGCATGAATCATCCACCGCCTTCTGCTCTACTCCCACCACCAACTTTTGTGCCTCCCATGGTACCTTCTCTCTATCCTGTTTCGCTTTATTCCCGAGCCATGGGCTCACTTCCACCTCCCCCTCAAGCAAGGAGCCGAGGGTTTGCAGGTCGGTACCTAAGAATGAAGTATTTGCCATTCTAATTTATTTCATAATAATCTATCCAGTCCTCACTGCCAGTTTCAGAATCAAGAGTTATATATTTAATCTCATTTAAATTCTGTGCTGTGGTATAGTAGTTGGACATTTAACTACAAATATTATAGTCTGGGGAAGAAAGTCCATTGAACTCCCAGACCATTCCCAATAGAAGAGATTAGTTCCCAGTGATTCAATTCTCATTAGCCAAAATTGTGCAGTCTTGGACTAATGTAGAAGTCAGGAGTCACTTATTACTTTATTATTTTGAGAGTTATAATTCACATGAACTGGATCTTAATAATTCCTGTTACTCATTCATTCCTTATAGACAACTGAAGGAAGATGTTTGTGGAAAAAGTAGTGGAAGTAAATGCCAGTGCTGGGAGATGACAGTAGCTCAATGTAGCCATATCCACTGCAGGTGTACACCTGACACATTTGCCTACCTTCAGCTCCAAAAGCATGGAAAACACGTCATCATCCATACCTCCAAAAGAACTGCAACTTAGAGAAAATAAATACATACCTACACACATGTATATAAATTATGGTGATACCTGAGGAGAAGCTGGTGTCTGATCAATAAGAAACAGACAAGCATACTTTAGGTAGCCCAGATCTTGATACATTAAACAACCTGCTTCTGGTGGAACAGGATTTTTTTTTTTTTTTGGTGGTGGAGCTCAATCCCAGGGCTTTTTCCATGCTAAGTAGGCACTCTACCTCTGAGCTACATACATCTCCATCCCTGAAACAGGGTATTTCAGTAGGAATATTTTCATATGAAATAGCAGGATTCTGTGATCAGGTTGATGGTCTTGCTGTTGTTGACCATGTGTATTGTATATTGCTCTTCTACTTAAAAATAATAAATTTGGAAGTTTAACCTAGTCTTTTAGGGTCACAAAATTCAATATGAATATTTAGCTCAAGGCTGGGCTTAGATGCCCAGTGTGAAAGTCAGCTCTGGTTAAGGTGATTTAACTGGTTTCCTGTCTGATTCTTTGTGTGTTGGCTATATGGTGTAAGTCTCAGGAGACACTTTAAGTCCATGTTCTTTTTTAATTTTTATGTATTTATTTTCATTTTATAAGTACGAATGTTTTGCATATATATGCACACTCGTATCAGGCAATGCCCACAGAGGGCAGAAGTGGGCATCAGATCCTCTGGAATTGGAATTTACAGTTGATTGTAAATTGAGCCACCATGTGGGTGCTGGGAACTGAACCCAGGTCCTCTGAAAAAGCAGCCAGTGCTTTAAACCACTGAGCCATCTTGGGAAGACCTCACCATTGCATAACCTTCTTTACTGGTAGACCACAAGAACCTCCTGCCTCCTGAAAGGACACAATAAAATCACCAAGTGCAACTGCTCCTTAGAATCTAACTTTCATACAAAGGTTGTAATAATTTTAATTGTCAACTTGATATAACCTAGGATCACCTGGGAAGAAAGTCTCAGTGACAACTTGTCTAGATCAAGTTGGCCTGTGGGCATGTCTATGGGTGATTATCTTGATTATCTTAATTGATATGGGAAGACCCAGCCTCAAAGTGGGCAGCATCATTCCCTGATTTTGGACCCTGGACTGTGCAAGAGTCAAGAAAGCTAGCTGAGTACTAAGTATTCATTCATTTCTCTCCGTTCTTGACTGCAGATATGATGTGACTAGCTGCTTTATAGCACCTGAAATTGTGAGCTAAAATGTACCCTTTCTCCCAGGAGGGTACTTTATCACAGCAAAAGAAAGGAAACTAGAACAGAGAGCCAAATGTATTAAGGGTTAACCTTTGGTTTCTTTCCATATGTTAAAAGGCCTACTAGACCTCCAAGTTCTTTTTTAATTTCTAGGAGTACAAGCATGTGCCATCATACCCAGCTAAAACTTTTGTGCTACTTTATAAAACCCAGTTGTGCTTATGAATTCACACAGAGTTGGAATTTCCTGTCTTAAGGACAGAAAATAATAATCTTATCTTGTCTTGAATTGTTTCTGCTTTTTTCCCCAACTGTTACCATTTGTATTAGTTGCCTTTCTCATTACTGTGACCAAATACTAACAGAACAGAGAGATTTTATTTATTTATTTATTTATTTATTTATTTATTTATTTATTTACTTATTTTTGCTCTTTTTGCAACAGGGTCTCCCTGTAGTCCCAGCTCTCCTGGAACTCACTTTGTAGACCAGGCTGGCCTTGAACTCCTAAGAGGTCTGCTTGCCTCTGCCCTGCCTCCCAAGTGCTGGGATTAAAGGCTTGTGCCACCACACCATGCTGAGAGATTTATTTTACCTCATGGTTTAAAGGGATACAGTTTATCATTGCAAGGAAGACATGTGGGCTTACAGGTTGTTGCTGGTTTGTTTTCTTTGCATGCTTGTTAATCTTTGTGGATCAGGAAACAGAATTCAGGCCAGAAACAAGGTGAGCTATAACCCTCAAGGCCCTCCCCCACAGTTGTCTACTTCCCCATCCCCCAGGCTCAACCTCCTGAAAGTTCCATAACCTCCTAGCCTCTCAAAAAAGCATTGTCATCTGGGGACCACGTGTTCAAACACATGAGCCTGTGGGGCACATTTCACATTCAAATCATGACACTGTTCTTTTTTTTCTTTTACTTTTTTTCGTTTGTTTGGTTAATTGGTTTGGGTTTTTTGCAACAGGGTCTTGGTAATGTAGTCCTGCCTATGTCAATCAAACCAACTTTAACTTATAGCAATCTTCCTGGATCTACTTCTTGACTGGTGGGATTGTAGGTGTGCCCAATTTGTTATAGCTTTTAAAAAATATTTTATTTATTATTTTTATTTTACATGTATGCGTGAATTGCCTGCATGTAGGTAAGTGCACCTATGTCATGAAATGCCCACGGAGGACAGAAGAGGTGTCGGATCCCCTGGAACTGGAGTTATGGACAGTTGTTAGCTGCCATGTGGTTGCTGGGATTCGAACCCAGTTCTTCTGCAAGAATAGCCAGTGTTCTTAACTGCTGAACCATCTCTCCAGCCCAGTTATAGCTTTTTAACATAAAATTTTTAAGATTTAGGGGAAGGGGTATAAAGATGATTAAGATGTTCTATACGAAACACACAAAAAGTCAATAAAAAAATTACAAAAAAAGTGCAGATGCCAGGCCACTGGGGTAGAATCAAAGATCAGCATGTTTTAACTCCCCCAACTCCAAGATTCCATTGTGCAGCCAAGATCCAGAACCACAGAACAAGAAGGTAGAAAAGAAATTTTAAGATTTTAAAAAAATTTGTGTGTGTGAATGTTTTGCCTGCATGTTTGTATGTACAATATGTATATGCCTGGTGTTTGCAGAGGCCAGAAGAGGGCATTGGATCCCCTCAAACTGGAGTTGCAGGTGGTTATGAACTAATATATGGGTGCTAAGAACCTAACCTGGGTCCTCTACAGGAGGAACAAGTACTCTTTACTGCTGAACTATCTCATCAGCCCCTTTAATTATAAACGTGTTTCTCTTTTTTTTTTCATTTAGTCTGCTTGTCTGGCTAATCCTATAATGTATAGTGATTCATATTGGTATGGAAAGTGGGTTTGACCTATGATTTTAAAATAACTAGGTTTTAAGAATTCATTTTCTTGCCAGGCATGGTGGTACACACCTTTAATCCCAGCACTCAGGAGGCAGAGGCAGGCAGATATCTGTGAGTTCAAGGCCAGCCTGGTCTACATAGTGAGTTCCAGGACAGCTGGGGCTACAGGGTGACCCTGTCTCAAAAAGACAAAAAAAAAAAAAAAAAAAAACAAACAAACAAAAAAAAGAATTCATTTTCTCTGGGAGGAACAGGTAAAATAAGGAGTGTGGGGAGGGATCACTAACATTAAAGATATTTGGAAAAGCCATGAGGAAACCTACTACTACAGATGCTTCCTAACATAGCCACATATACATTCATAAAAGGAGTTCAAATGGAGTTACCCTATGACAAATGACTCTCCCAGATACCACAGGCTACCAAAAAAGCTAGTGCCAGTTATGGGTTACCTCATTTTGAGTTGTTGGTTGGTGAGGTCCCATAGACACCCCCTTCCCAATCATTACTGGCTATTGCCATTGCTCATTGGTTAACCTCCAGAACTTGATGGTAAAACCCTATTGCTGAAGATACCACATATTTGAATCTTAGGACAAGGAGACATCAAGCTAGTAGTGACCTAGAAGCTTCATCCCTACTGCCTAGCTTCATAGTGCTAAAAGCTGCTATGCATTCTACTGAAAGAGAAAAGTAATCATCAACCTTGCCCAGCTATGAACCCTGTGAGCTACAATAATGGCCAGGCAAGATATGCCCACTGGTATGGTAGTGGCACAAATGTTATGGGACTAACCAACTGCTTTCTGATTGGATTTAAGGTTCACTCCACAAGATGGAACTCATGCTTAGTACTGTTATTTGAGTCAAGAACCCATGGCTGGGTAGGTCATAGACCCTAGGAGAAAACCTGCTTCTATTATTCTGCTGTACCTATAGATCAATGCATCTCTCAACCCTCATCAGAGAAGTTTATTTTTGCAGTAAATTGTGATTAATACAGACACTTACAACTGAATAGTGTGCAGAGAATATGAGACTGTGGAGTTCTCACCTCTAAATGAAACATCTGTATCATACCCCCTACCCCCAAGGCTCAGGGATCATTGTGGAAGAGGGGGCAGAAAGGTTGTGAGAGCCAGAGGGGTGGATGACTGCTACAAAACATCATTTTCCAGACATGACAGGGCCACTGTACATGCGAATTCACAGCAGCTGTGGCTGCATATAGGACCTATACAACATTAAGACAGCCAAAATCCCAGCATGGATTGAGGAGGGGTTCATGAGGGCCTACCCCTAGTTGAGAAGCTATTGGTAAATGATTACTGTTAAGGGAAGAAGGTTTACTTTTCTTCGGGAATGTGGTCTTTGATAAGCTACTTGTGCTCCTGTAGATGACTCTATACTCATGCATGTATTGGCAGCACTAAATGGACTCAGGGGGTTTAAAAAAGAGAGCAGATGAGGTGAGAGGGAAAAGTGGCAAGGGAATAGGGAAGGAATTGGAAGGAAGGGAATGGGGGTTAGATTTGATCAAAACACATTATATGGAAATATGAAATTCTCCAATAATTTACGTGTATGAGTGTTTTGCCTACATGTATGTGTACTACATGCGTGCAGTAACTGTGGCAACTAGAAGGCATCAGAGCCCCCTGGAATGGGAGTGACAGGTGTAAGCCACTATGTTGGTGAACCCAATTTTTTTTAGATTTATTTGTTTGATGTGTATGAGTGCTTTGTCTGCATGTTATATATGTGCAACAAGAGCATACCTGGTACCTGCAGAGGTCAGAAGAGAGTGTCATTTCCCCCCTGGAACTGGAGTTAAGGACAGTTGTGAGCCTCCATGTGGTTGCTGAGAAACAAACTTGGGTCCTCTTTAAGAGTAACGAATGTTCATGCTGACTGTGATGGGGAACACCTTTAATCTGAGTACTCAGGAGGCAGAGGCAGGTGGAGCTCTGTGAGTTCAAGGCCAGCCTGGTCTACATAGTTAGTTCCAGGACAGCTGGGGCTACAGAGAGACCCTGTCTCAAAAAGACAAAGAAAGAAAGAGAGAAAGAGAGAGAGAGAAGGAAAGAAAGAAAGAAAGAAAGAAAGAAAGAAAGAAAGAAAGAAAAGAAAGATAGTGCTCTTAACCTCTGAGCCATCTCTCCAGCCCTACTCCCCAAACATTTTTAAAAATATTTTATTATTTTTATTTTATGTGTATGAGTGTACTGCCTGCATGTGTATTAGTGCACCCATGTCATGCAATGCTCATGGATGTCAGAAGAAGGCGTCGGATCCCCTGAAACTGGAGTTATGGACAGTTGTTAGCTGCCATGTGAGTGCTTGGCATCAAGTCTAGGTCCTACGCAAGAGCAGTCAGTGCCCTTAACTGCTGAGCCATTTCTCCAGCCCCATCCTAAACAATATTTTTAAATGAAAAGAAAAATGCGCTTTTGGCCAGCAAAAAAATATCATTTTCCAAACAAATTCCTATTGCGTAGTAGGTTATATGGTTGAAAAACCAATCACAACACTCAACACTCAGATTATTAAAATGGATATATATATATATAAAAATGTGTGTGTGTGTGTGTGTGTGTGTGAAGATAAGAACGAGTAGACTGTGGTATCTTTTGCGCCCTCTCTCAAATGTCCCATTTATCACTGCTGTTCTTCTCTTGCCAGGTCTCCATCCAATCCCACCCCAAGGTGGAAAACTGGAAATTGCTGGGATGGTAGTGGGCCAGTGGGCTGGCAGCAGATCTTCTAGAAGTCGAGGATCCTTTGGCATGCAAGTGGTTTCTGTTGGTGGCCCAGGAAAAGGGTATGTATGTGAATGGATTGGTATGAGCTAGTGTGAATCAAGGTACCCTTAGGAAAATGCCCAGCTATTGGCTCCTTCTGTTAAGGAAAGAGGCATTAACCAACTTACCATACTTGAAATCAGTTTTAAGTTTAGTTCAGCAAATGTGTAATAAATGTTTTGCCTTGATAAAAAGAGTTTTCTGTACTAGAGGACAACATGGGATACAGAATAATTTGATATGATATAGAAATGATAGAGTTTTATAGTAGTAGTACTAAGGAGAGTCATCTAAATTAACAGTGTTAAACTTCTTCTAGGGGAGATGAATAATTAACCAATGAAAATGGGATTTGGGCTTCATATGTTCTCATGATCACTTTTCCCTCCCATTTGCTAAAGGCATGGAAAAGAGCAGACTGGTAGAGGATCCAAAAGTCACAAAAAAGGAAATAAACAAGTAAGTATCCTTTTTGAGATCATCAACTTCTTTGACACCTTCCACCCTTCTGGATAAATTACAAGAAACTGCATCAGGCATGGAAAGCTGAGCTGCTTAGAGGAATTTTAATACCTTCTCTAGCCATTTGATTTGATTGATTCAGGTTAGTCACCCTGAACTATTCCACAGGGCTGCAGAGGCTCTTGCTTTTTTCCTGAATGAGACCACAAGGTAGAAACCAGGTATGGTGTCCTGAAGACCTGTGCCTAGAATAGTATATACTACATGCAACCAGAAGGGGCCGGAGTGGCCCTAAATGCTACAGCCTGCCTGTGCTTTAAGGAGCCAGCAAAGACACATAGAAGCCTGTACTTTTGCCTTTGCAGGATATGGGAGAAGGACACATTGTCGTTCTGCTTTGTGTGTGAGGGGTGCTAGAGATTGAACCCAGGGCCTTGCACATGCTAGGCAAGTGCTCTATCACTGAGCTACAGCCCCAGTTCTCACTTATTTGTATATGTGCTATATATGCATGTGTACAGGTGTGAATGCATATGTATGCACATGTATGTGGAGAACAGAAGTGGACATCCATTGTCTTCCTTCATCACTCCCTATCTTAGTTTTTGAGACAGACTCTCTCACTGACTTGGGACTCACCAATTGGCTAGGCTGAATGGCCTGTCTCCCCACTTCTGCAGTGCTTGGATTACAGATGTGTGCTATTGTACCCAGCTTTTTAATGTGTATGTTAGGGAACCAAAGACAGGTCCCCATGTTTACACAGTAAGTACTTTACCCACTGAGTCATTTCTCCATCACCCTCTATTGTTAATTACTCAAAAAGGTCTGAAAGTTTCTTCTTATCTTTGCCTTGAATTATATCATAGTTCCCACTAGTCCTCATTCAGCATGCCTCCGTTTCAAATACAGACTATGGGGTATAATTCTTTTAGTGATCCAAAATCTTGTACTGTAGCTGGAGATACAGGTCACTGGTAGAGGACTTGCCCAGCATATGTGAGGCCCAGGATCCACAGTGCTGAAAAAAATCTGGGGGCTGAAGAAATGGCTCAGTGGGCAAAGTGCTTGCCCTGAATGAGGACCTAAGTTCAGATCCCCAGAACCCACATAAAAGCCAGGCATGGCAGTGTACACCTGTAACCCCAGTGCTGGGGACAGAGACTGGAAGATCCTGGAGGCTTGCTGGCCAGCCAATCTAGCTGAAATGGCAAGCTTCTGGTCCAGTGAGAGGCCATATCTCAAAAAATAACGTAGAAAGCAATAAAGATAGCCACCTCTGACCTCCACAGGTTAGAACAAACAGCAAACAAACAAACAAAAAAAAACCCCACCCTATACTGGCTTCAAACTGCTAGACTCCACATGGTATTGCAAACTACTGTTTCATGAGTACCTACTTTCTTTTTAATATTATTTATTTATTTATGTATATATGCTCATTCATGAGGGAGGCACACATGCCATGGCATACATGTGGCAGACAGAGCGCAACCTCAGGGTACCAATCCCTGCCTTCTACCTTGTTTAAGATAGGGTCTCTTGTTTTGTTTTGTTTTGTTTCCACTGCATACGCCATGCTATTTGGCCCAAGAGCTTCCAGGGATTCTGCTGTGTCCACCTCCCCATAAGAGTGCTGCAATTGTAGATTGCATGTCTGTCTTTGCATGGGTTCTGGGGATTTAAACTTGGGTCCTCATGTTTGCACAATAAGCACTTTACCCACTTTACCCACTGTGTCGTCTCCTCAGTCCAAGTACCTACTTTCTAACAAGTGTCTTCTACTGGATATTTTATTGGCAGTTTTTTTGTTTTGTTTTGTTTTGTTTTTGGTTTCGAGACAAGGTCTTCTTACATAGCCCTGGCTGGTCTGATACTATGTAAACCAGGCTAGCCTTGAACACGCAGGTATTATCCTCCCTCTGCCTCCTGAGTGCCAGTATTAAAGGCATGCACCAGCAGTTGTCCGTTTCTAATCCTAAATCTCCTCTCCTGTATATAGCCAGCCCTCACTATATCCATGATAAATGCCACTATCTAATGTTTGTTTTGATGTTATTTTCAGCCTAAAGGAAACTAGGATAGTAAGTCACACCACAAAGCATTCTATAATTGTATGTATGTGTGTCCATTTGTGTATATAATTCCAAAAACTACAGAACAGTGACTTTTAAATCTTCTCAGCTTCTTTCGGAAGCTGGTTGGTAAGATAAAAAGGATCACATGTAGAGGGGAAATTAGTCACCCAGGAAGGTGCTCATAAAGTAGTATATACAACCTTGGGAAATTCACCATGATTCAGGTTCTGACCATTGCATGCAGCATGAAAAGCCTTCTATTCTTAGTATGAAAAGAATGGATCCATCTCTCTGTGATTGACTCACACTAACAAGATTACAGAAATAGCTATGTGGATATATCTGGAGTGAAGGGCAAGTGAATGAGGGCTAAGTACTGATTTATGATAAGAAGGAATACGTTGTATGACACATTACACACTCTTCTGTACTCATTTTATGAGGTCATTGAAACTACATGAACACCTTATGAGATAGTTACTACTTTCTACTTTAAATGAGAAGAAATTGAGGCTCAAAGGAATAAAATAATTTTGCTTCAAATTATCCATTAGTTAATTCTCAGAATTGACATTTCAGCCTTAGCTAAATGATTCCAAAGTCTTGTGCTATTCAGATTCCAGTGAAACTCTGATTGCTAGAGATGAGAATCACAGCCAGGCCAGGGTTGACTGATTCTAGTGCACATGTTCATAACCATTACTACCAGAGCTTGCTTTTTCTTAGGGCAAGCCATGTATCAGTAATTTGTTTGGAGGCATAGAACATAGACAGTGATGTTAGTTACTATTTATTGAGTTCTTTTTTTAATTTGGTTTTGTTTGGGGGTAGTTAGGGGCTGGAGTTTTGAGATGGGTTCTCAATGTGTAGCCCATTTATTGAGTTCTTACAGCAAGCCAGGCATATACTCTAAGTGCTTTACATGGAGTGTCTCATTAAGTCATTATGGGAAGTACATGCTGTTATTCCATTTTATGGTTGAGGAAACTGAGAGAAAACAAAGGATGTGGAGGAATCTTCTTCTCTTGGCTCAGATTGCTTCAGCCACTGATATCTTTTCTAGAGGAACCTGGCCAGGGAAATCCTCACATTGATTTTATTTTTACCTAAGCACCTTCCCTAGACACAGCAGCAACTGCCGGCTGCCTTGACTGCCTTGCTCACTTTCCTTTTTCTGTTCAGTCACTCTTTATGCAGAGTACGAGATAAACAGTTATTCCAATTTATTAAATGCACATATAGTTCTGTCTTCCTGAGATTATTCCTGGGGCCTTTGGAGTTTTGTATGTTCTCAATTTTTTTTTGTGTGTTTGTGAAACAGGGCCTATCTGTAGCCCCAGCTGACCTTGAACTCACTATGTAGACCAGGCTGGCCTTGAACTCCCAGAGCTCCACCTGCCTCTACCTCCCAAGTCTTGTTTTTGTTGTTTTGGTTTGGTTTTTTGTTGTTGTTGTTTTTGGTCTTTTTGAGACAGGGTCTCCCTATAGCTCTAGCTGGCCTGGAACTCACTATGTAGACCAGGCTGGACTTGAACTCACAGAGATCCGCCTGCCTCTGCCTCCCGAGTGCTGGAATTAAAGGCGTGCGCCACCATGCCCGGCTTGTTTTGTTTTTTTAAAGACAGTATCTTCCTATAGCCTCAGCTGGACTAGAACTCGCTAAGTAGATCAGGCTGGTGTCAGTCTCACAGAGATCCACCTGCCTTGCCTCTGCCTCCTGAGTGCTGGGATTAAAAGGCATGTGACACCATGCCCAACAGTTCTCAAATTCTTTTTAAAAATTATTTAATTTTATTTTATGTGTATGAGTGTTTTGCCTGCATACATGTAAGTGCACTACAAGTGTGCATTACCCATGGAAGCCAGAAAAGGATGTTGGATGCCCTAGAACTGGAGTTAGGGATGGTTGCTAGCCCCCTTGTGTGTGCTGGGAACCAAACCTAGGTCTTCTGCAAGAACAGCCAGTGCTCTTAACTGCTGAGATATCTCCAACTCCCAGTTCTCAAATTCTTATCACTTACTTATAATATTACTATTTCTTTGTTGAATCCCTCAGGTGACTAATTCCATCGAGTGGATTTTTACTAGTTCCATTGTATTTCTAGGTTCTTGGACAATACTTCCTAGTAGCCTCTCTACGTTTTAGCTTAAAGAGAAATGTCAGGTTCATGAAAAGCATATGACATGAAATTACCTTTCAGAAGAGCTTTTTTAGTTGATGAGGCCTTGAAGGTCCAAAGAGGCGCTTCATTGGGAGAGATACAGCATCCTGGCCATAGGCAGGCATAGGCAGGCCTTGAAGGAAAAGAGAGTGTTGCTTTCAAATCCAGAGAACAAAAGGAGTTTCTGAATTTTAGTGAGTTTTTTTCAGGAGGGTGAGTAAGCTTCATACAAATGATCTAGCCTGGCCTGGCCTACAGAAGCTGGCACTTGGTAGGACCACAAGCTTATCTTCCAGCTGCTAGGGGAAGGGCTATAAGATTGCAGCACAGCATGCTTTCTTATCAACTCTGTCCCAGAGAGAGAATTATAGGGGTTTCTGGCCTGATTTCTGGAAGATGGAGAGAGTCCACTAGCAGCTCTGTGATAAAACACTGTGTTGCACAGACTTTAAATCCAAATGATTTAGCTTTGCATCTGACTCTCCCATTTTGGCTCTGTGACCTTTGGCAAGTTATTTAACCTCATAGTATCATATTTTCCTGGTCTTTAAAATGCAGAAATTGTAGGGTTATGAGAGTTAAGTAAGATGATATCTGTACAATATTTATCATAGACCCTGAAACATGAGGAATGCTCAGTGAAAATTAGTAGTTGTTATTTGTAATTGACTAAAATTCAACAATTATGAGTTTTTATTATATCTTATTGTAAATAATAAGACCTTTGAAGTAAACAAAGAGTAGACATGCCAGTGACTTTGGGCACATCATTTTGCTTTGTTTGAGCTCCTGTCATCCATAAAATGAACAACAGAATATGTGACATGTCCAAACACATAGTAACTAGAAGCTATCATTATTCCTGTCAATATTCATGGAAACTCAGCATTACACTACAAATGTAGTTCATGTCATTTGCAACAGCACTCACATTCCTTGGATTAAAAGAGTAACAGGAAAATGGTTTCAGTTTTAAGAGTCTGTGAAATATTGTACATAGATTGGGTTTTTTCCTTTCCTTATATTTGCTCTTCTGATTGGCAGTATTGGTCAGTCTTACAAGGCAGTTGAGCAAATAGGGGTTGACCCACCTAAAATACATTCCTGACGCCACTACTTTCCATCTTAAGCAAGTTATTTTAGTCTTCCTATGCCTCAGCTTCCCCATCAGTAAATGGGACATCATAATATCTACCATTTGGGTCACTATAAATATTAGAAAAATAGTTGTAAAGCTTTTTTTTTGGAGACAGGATCTCACTGTATAGCTGTGGCTGGCCTGGAACTTGTTATGTAGACCAGACTGGCCACAAACTCAAAGAAATCTGCCTGCCTCTGCCTCTCAAGTGTTGGGATTAAAGGCATGTAGCACCACTCCAGGCCTTATTATAAAGCTTTGTGAATAGTAGTTGTGTCATTATTGTGTTATTGTTGCTGTTGGATTTTAGCTCTCGGGACAATATCAGAATATACTGTCTTTAGACTTTCTAGTATTTCTGAAGAACTGAAGCAACTTCCTCAGTCCACTTTATACATATGTTTGGGAAAGGCCAGCCAGATTTGGATTACTATTTTCACTGAGTAGCTCTTGTTTTTGACAGGGCTCTTCGGATGGAATTTCTAAACCCTTGGAGCTTCATCAAGGTCGGTCCCGCTCACAAGTAAATGGAAACAATGGCACATTGATTAAGGAAGAGAAGAATGATCATCATCTTCCAGCTCCATCACAGTGTGCCTTATCCAGAGACAGTAACGTGTGTAACAATGATAACCACTGCCTCCCCATGAAGAATGGAGAGAAGAACCATGTACAAGAGCAAAAGCTAGAAACCGTGGCCCAACAGAAAGAAGAATGACAAACGAAGGTGGCGTCACCTGTCAGTAAGAGGGGAAAACTATACTTTTCTGATTCTAGGCCCAAGTTAGAGGAGGATATAAATGTTTACCCTAGATTTATCCAGGATTTTAAGGGGACTTCCTAATCTACTGTATCCATATTTTCTTCCCTATCTTTTCTGGATCCAGATTAGAAATAGGGGGATTTCTGTTTAAAGATGATTAGCAACAAGACAAAACTCTGATTCTCCAATATATAGCACCAGTATTCTCTTTGTCTCCCCATGAAATCTAGTAAGGCAGTAACTGTCAGAAAGCAGATGTTGGCACATAAAGTCCTATGGAAAAGTTCCAGCTTTGGTTTTTGGAGTATTTAACGTGATATTCATTTATAAACTTTCATGATAAATATGGTGTTGAGAGGTCAGCTGCCTATGGCTTCCTGATTTTTTTCTCTTTGAAGTGATGGACTCTTGATACCTAATCAGTATCTATTCTTCTTTACTCTTTCCCCTAACTCACCTACCCCAGGATTTTGTATACCACCTCTAGCTCTGGCCTAACAACTAGATACGTAGATGTTTTCAGGGAAGTGGACAGTGTTGGTTCTGAGTTATTTTATTTTTTATTTTATACACTTTAGAAAAGTACAATGGCCTTTGTACTGGGAGATTCAAGTGAGTCAGAAAAGTACTGGGCAGATTTTTCCTGCCTCTCAACCAGTGCATTGTTTATAAAATAGAAGATACGGTGCAGTTCACCCATTCTCTGCTGCCCACACTCGGAAAGGGTGGAAATCAATGTAAGAAACTGAGTACAAAAGGGACTCAAAAGACTCTATATGTGTGTATGTGTGTATAGGTGTGCGTGTGGGTGTATATATGAACGTGTGTATCGATATGCATACACATACCCTTTATATAAGAGACAGATCTATTTATCTATACATATTTTATATAGAGAAATGTGTGTGTACATATATGTATACACATACATACATGGTAATGTCCCAGAAGATTTACTGAACTTCCCAGAAATGCTTCCACTACTATGGAGTGGTGGGTTTCTAAAGACCACACTTTAAATCTGAAATCCTTACTAAGTCACAGCCCATCCCAATTATAAGATGGGCTACTCTAAATCAGACACAAAGTACTTTCCAAAGATTGCCTGTTCAGAACAACAAATACTTCACCCTGAACAGAGCCCTCACATCCCATATGGTGAAAACAGGAGGTTGGAATGGGATTGGGAAGAGATGGGCAATTCTTTATGAAGGTTTGGAGATAGAAAAGGGATAGGAGGTGATTACCATTTGAAAGGGTTTTTAGCCAGTCTGTAAGAAATGTCTTGAAGAACTCCAGGATCAAATTGGCTTCCAGCAAGAACTGATTAGCATTTAATCCATGAAGGAGGGAAGATTAGCATTGGAAAGATGGGGTACGGAAATGTGAGGAAATATGACAGTTTGATTTTACATGCTTAGATTGTTTCATTTATTCATTGACATTTTGACTACCGGATCTTTTCATTTGCTTTGTAAGCAAGATGTCAGAGGATTCTGGCCTGGGCTCTGAGAGGTATTCTACAAAGATTTTCAGCCCCTATGGGGCCAAGATCTGCCCAGGATAGAGAGGCTGTTCCTTCTTGCTGGAGATAATCTTGAGACAACCTTGATTTCCAGTTTCCCTCCTTTTGGGCATCCAAAATCAAGGGATGGAAACTAGGCTTGTAATTAATTAGTAGTGTATCTTTATTCAGGAATCGAGGCTTCTGGCCTCACACATCTCCTTTTTGGACTTTGATATTCTTGCCCAAGAAATATGATTTCTACAAGAATATAACTGACTAGACTCATAGCAGGGTTCTCTCTTTTTGAAAAACAACAACAAAAAACAAAAACAGAAAACAAAAGCAAAAACTTATGCAACTTAACTCACATCAGATCCTTGGTGATTTTTTCCAGTTAAGTAGAAGGCTGTTTGCTATCTGCTCACTCCATCTCAAGAAATTAAAATGTCTTGGGCTGTTTAATTGTAGTCTGGCCCCATTTAAGAGAACTCACAATTTTCAGGGGGCAGGAGCCCTGGTATGCCTTGCCCCTTGCCCAGATAGTTCTTACATAAACCTAATAAAGATGACAAGAGTGTATACCTAGCCATATATAAGCAGGAAAAAAATATACAAAAACATCCTTTTTGAAATGAGATCCCTGATTTGGTCCCCCTTGTTCTCTTGGACCTTTTCACCCTTTCACAAAACCTTGAAGGACTTTTATATATAGTAAGAGAGAGAATTCATCATAAATTTAGATGGCTTAGAATTGTCTTTCTGAGCCACAGAGGGATGAATCCTTCGGAGCTCCGAAAGTAACCAAAGTCACGGAGGGAGTGAATGCTTAGGTATATGGTCATATATCTAACAGGACATACTTGGAGTTAAATGGTAGGGTGTCTTCAGTTGCCGTTTCTGTGCATCGTGAATCTCTCTGACACAGATGACAGTATTGTTAATTCTCACATCATTCTCACAAGGTTAAGGTTTATTTTGTAGCCATTCACTATGAGAGATTAAAACTGCTGCTTTGACAGAAAATATTCCCATTTGCCAAAAGATTTTATATTTTTCCCCCTTTCACAAACTTCTACTTTCCCTAGCCTGGCCCAGGTTGAATCAAGTGGCTCACTTTTAACCTTGAATTTTGTTTTAATTCAGTATTTTGGGCTTGGGAAGTTAAAAGAGAACTATAAATGGTTATGTTCCTAGATTTCAGTGTACCTCCCAAAATACACAATTTAAAAACTACAGTTAATTATTAAGAAATGAACCTTTTATAATTGGGAGACAAATTGGGGACCTTTACTGTGCCACTTGAGGTTCCACTTCTGATTCTGATTGTCTGCTCTTGAACAAAGTCATGTTGAAATTCCCAGAAATGACTGCTTTACCTTATAAGGTAACAGTAAAAAAAATAAAAACCAGGTAAACAAAACAAAAACTCTGATTGTGTACAGCCACTGATCGAGCCCCAAGAACTTGCAGTTTTTTTCTACCAGTGTCGATGTGTCTTTGGGTCAGCCTGTAAATCTTAACTTTCCCAGTGACCAGGCCCCACAAACTTCTGCTCATTTGCATCATTTTTATTTTTGGGGTAGGACTTCAGGTAGGCTGAAGCTCTAGGAGTGGTACTTACTTGCTAGGAACATTTTGGGGGTTGGGGCATTTGTTTGTTTCCATCTTGATTTTCTGACACTGTTGGCCAAGTCACCCCAATTTTTTTGAACACTGAGAAAACTAGCCAGACAAGGCATGGGGGGAGGGGTTGCAAAATGCTTATATAGGATAGAAAGAATGTGAGCATAGTCCTTTGGTTATGATGATTTAGTCCTTTGGAAACTTAGAAGGCCCCTGTGGGCATACAGCACCACCCATTCAGCCTCTAACCCTCCATCCTTTGAAATGACAGTACAAGTAGACCATAATTTAAAGTAGTTAGCATAATTCTACTAAGATTTAATCATTATACTTCTTCACTTTCAGGTGCGTATTTCCTAAATATGCTTGGGGTTCAGGGTGGGGGGTAAGTTTTCACTGTTCCATTGTATGTCCTTTTTTCTCCCTCCCATCAGCTTAGCATTTTTTGACTTTCTCTTTTCCCCCTTGCCTTATTGATGTAGTCTGCTGCTACAGATAGACAGCTCAGTGCACCTATTCCCCCTTTACTGCTCATTATCTTCTGAGGATATTGTGATGTTCTAAGAAATTGATGTCACTTTTTATAAAATCATCTTTTCTAAGTTAAAAGCAAAATAAAACATGCCCTGTGCTAGGGTGCCCATTTCAGCTTTTGACATTGCCTCTGTACTTTTATAGATGAATTTTTTGTCTGTGTTGGTAGTAACTAATGGCTAGTGAATTTTCATGTAAATGAAGCAAGTTAAATGTTTCAGATTTTATTAATTTCTCATAACCCTGCCGGATCTGATGAATTTAATTCCCAGAAGGGACTTCCCTCCTACCTTTTAATTTGTTCTATTTTTAGACTTAACACACTAGGTGAAAAAAAAAAAACCTTTAACTGCAAAGTCAGTGATTTTTAGTGCTCCCTGATAAATGATGTTATTGACAAAAGTAAAAATTTCTTTCCTTGTTTTTTTTTTCCTGTGTTACTATCTCCTCTCCTGTGCTCTTGACAGTGTGTTTAGTGGATGGATAATACGTATTTCTCTTTGCCACTCCCAGATTCCAAGTTCCCTGCCTTTTTGGCCCACCTCACCACAAAAGCTCCATAGTTTATTAATGTAAGTTTGAGTGGATGCTTCTTGGGGGAAACTGCAGGACTTAGTGGAAATGTTTCAGAAGGGAATGAGAATGTCTCAGGAGTTGTTCTGTGATGGAATTTGATCTGTTGTTCTGTTAATGCTGATGGAAAGAAACTTACAGTGCTTAATAAAAGTCTATTCTTTTAGTTTAAAAAATGTGAAATAATTTTGGGTGTGTGAAGTTTGATTTCTTCTTCTGTCTCTGGATCCCTTTCTGCAAATGGAGAATATTCTTGTCTCAATTCAGAAGCATTACACAGAGATTTTGGAGTGTGTAAAATATCAGGGCAAGGGACTCTGTGCAAGAAATATCAAAATGAAGAGTATATTTAGCCTTCTGGCTAACTTTTCAAATTTTTATAAGAGATTTTTTTTTTTCTTTTTGAGACAGGGTCTCCCTGTAGCCCCAGCTGGCCTGGAACTTGCTATGTAGACTAGGCTGTCTTTGAACTCATAAAGATCTGCCTGCCTCTGCCCAATACGTATGCCACCACACCTGGCTATAATTCATTATTTTTATTTTATGTATATGAGTATTTTGCCTACAAATATCTCGTAACCACTGAGCATCTCTCCAGTACCCTGGTTAACTTTATTTGAATGTGCTAAAAGTACTTTTGATTCAATATTTCCCAAACTGAACCTGTTTATTCTGAAGTCTGCTTCTCTCCATGAGTAACCACAGACTGCCATGGGGGCCCTATCCCAGACTCATGCCCTTCCCTTATTTCTCAACTCAAATTTATAACAAAACCTGTTGGTAGCATTCAACTGTGTATTTCTCACATCTGTCTCACCATTCCTGTCCCCACACCTGTGGCCTAGTCCAAGCTTCATTACGTCTCACCTGAACTGTAGGGTTTTGGATACCCTGGAACTGGAGTTACAGATGGTTGTTGGGTGCCATGTGGGTGCTGGGAACCAAACCTGGGTCCTCTGCAAGAGCAGCCAGTGCTCTTAACCACTGAGCAATCTCTCCAGCTCTCTAAGCAGCATTTTGTGTCTAACCAAATATTCTTTTTCTGCTCAAAAGGCCTACATCTATTTTCAGGTTTTTTTATTATTTATTTATTTTTATTTGATGTGTATGAGTGTATTGCCTGCATGTATGAAGAGGCATCGGACCACCTGGTAATGGAGTTATGGATGGTTGTTAGCCATCATGTGGGTACTGGGATTCGAATCTGGGTCTTCTGCAAGAACAGACAGTGCTCTTAACCACTGAGTCAGCCCCTATTTTCAGGTTTTTAAAGGGATCTATGGCACAGTAAAAAAGTTAAAAACCATACTTTAATCCACCATGCTTACTAGCTTCCAAAATAATCTGTCCTTCTAATACACTGCACAGACACTTCCATCGCTCTTTTCATTATCTGGCTACATCCTGACTACTTATCTAACCTCCTTCCTCCCCTATTCTACTGCAGACATAATTAAGCTCATCCCATACCCATGAAGCTGTTAATACTCCCTTCTCATTTGCTTGTGTCGTTGTCTAGAATGCTTGTCTTTTTTTGTCTCTGGTCCTGTCTTGACTCCTCCCTCTCCCCACCCCCATGATTCAGCTCATATTTAAAATTTTTTTTCCTGACCCATCAACCAAGAATTCCTATACAGACTTTTCTTAGCCAGCCTCTACAGCACTCAAATGCACGTGAGTACAGTGTCTGTGCTTGACCATGTCCTAGGCACCTACTGTATACAGCATGCCCTTTAAGTTTTGGGTGAATAAATGAAGAACAGGCAAAACACATCTAAACACATTCTTTGTTTAGCAGATTATAGACTTTTGAAGCAAATGATATGCTGGCAAGGGTATAGATGGACTGAGTGTCAGTGTTCATCCAAAATGGTATTCATTTAAACTATTTTTTGAAACTGTAGCCCTAACTGACCTGTAAGCTGTGTAAACCAAGGTGTTTTTAAATTAGGCTTTGGGGCTGGAGAGATGGCTTGGTGGTTAAGAGCATTTGCTGTTCTTCCAGAGGACTGGAGTTAAGTTCATAGCACCCATGTCAAATGGCTCACAACAACCTATAACTCCAACTCCAGGAGATCTAACACCTTCCAGCCCCCCAGAGCACCTACACTCACCTATAAATACCCACATAGGTACACACACATACACATAACTAAAAATAGGCTGGGTGTGGTGGTGTATGCCTTTAATCCCAGCACTCAGGAGGCAGATCTCTGTTAGTTTGAGGGCAATCTGGTCTACATAGTGAGTTCCATGCCAGCTAGGCCTACATGGTGATACCCTGTCTCTCAAAAAAAAAAAAAGGAAGAAAAAATGAAAAAAAAAAAAGAATCTTCTGCAGGGGTTTTGGCATGGCACTGTTGTTAGGAGTGGACACTGGTGCAGCCGCTATTTAAGTTAATGTGGATGTCCCTCACAAAGCTTAAAATAGATTTAACATATGATCCAGCTATGCCACTCTTGGGTATATACGCAAATGACTCTATATCACACTACAGAGATACTTGCACATCCATGTTCATTGCTACTCTATTCATAATAGCAAACAATAGAGACAGCCTAGATATTCATCAACAAATAAATGGATAGTAAAAATGTAGTTCATATACACAATGGAATATTATTCAGCTGTAAAGAAAATGAGTTCACAGGTAAATGAACGGAGCTGGAAATAATCGTTCTGAGTGAGGTAAACCAGACCCAGAAAGAAAAATATCACATGTTCTCTCATATGTGGGTGCTAGCTTTTAGTCTTTAGATATGTGTATTTAAATTGGAGTACCCATAGAATTCAGGAAACTAGTAAAGGGCCATGGTGGTGGGAGGGGAATCTTAAGTGAAGGGGGTTGGATTACACAGTTGATATTAAGGGGGAGAGGGGACTAATGGAACAAGAAGAGCTAAATGGGATGGGGCATGGGAGAGTCTGGTAGAAATGGGAATATGGGGAGGGATTACTAACACAAGATTTTTGGAAAAGCCATGAGGAAACCTATTACAGATACTTCTTGACATATAGACACATATATACATAAAAGGAATTCAGATGGAAGAAGTTACCCTATAACAGGACAGTGATTCTCGTAGACTCTATAAGTTATCAAATAAAAAGGCAGAAATTGTTTTAAGAGTCACAAGTAGTGGACCTCTGTTGTAAAATGGTATTTGCCAGGCATGACAGGATTGATTCACACATGAACTCACAGCAGCTGTGACTGCATGCACAAGACCTGCACAAAATCAAAGCAGCCAAACTCCCAGCATGGAAGGGAGAAGGGCTCAGGAAGCTCCACCCCTAGCTGAGAAGCTATTGGCAACAATGGCTGCTGGCAGAATGAGAGTCAATTTTCTTCAGGAATGAATTCCTGGAGAAGCTTCCCATGCTCCAGTAAATGGTCCTACACCCACCCATGCCCTTACAGGAAGCACTAGGTGTACTCAGTGAGTTTAAAAACAAAGCACAAGGGCTGGAGAGATGGCTCAGTGATTAAGAGTACTGACTGTCCTTGCAGAGGACCCAGGTTTGATTCCCAGCGCCCACATGGCAGCTAACAACCATCTGTAACTCCAATTTCCAGGATCTGACACTCTTCTGGGCACTGCATGATATGGGTGCACTTACATACATGCAGCCAAAATACTCATACACATAAAAATAAAGCACATGAAGTTGGGAGGGAAAACAGATGAGGGGCTAGGGGGCAATTGGATGGGAAGCAATGGGAGGTAGATGTGTATATGAAATTCTCAAGCAGTAAAAATAATTTTAAAAAATAAAAAAGATTTTTTTGTTGGGCTTTAGGGGCTGGAAAGATGGCTTAGCAGTTAGTATCAGCTGCTGCTCTTGTAGAGGACCTGGGTTAGATTCCCAGCACACACATGGTGAGTAACAACCATCTGTAACTCCAGTTTCAGGGGAGCAGATGCCCTCTTCTGATTCCATGAGCACCAGGCACACATGTGATGAACATGCATACATGTAGGTAAAACACAAATCCATATAAAGTAAAAATAATTTTTAAAAAATTTTTAATTGTGGGGCTGAGAGATGGCTCAGCAGTTAAGAAAGCATTGACTGCTCTTGCAGAGGACCTGGATTTGATTCCCAGCACCAAAATGGCAGTTAACAACTATCTGTAACTTTAGTTCCAGGAGATCTGACACCCTCCTCTGACCTCTGCAGGTATTGCACGACAGATGCACTTATACACATGCAAGCAATACACTCATACACAAAAAATAAAAATAATATTTTTTTAATTGGGAAAGCCACCGTGTCAGTTTTGAGCAATAGAGGGCATTATAGTACAGAATCTGAAGCTAGAACTCTAGGACAGTCTTACTGTTTCTGCTGAATGACACTGGCTTGGCCTCCCTAACCACTCTGCCTTATGTGTACGGATCATAAAAAGGATATAGCTGAATCTAAAAAGGGAACATTAGAGGCCCGAAGAAGCTTGTAAATCTTTTATCCTCAAATGAAAACTATCACTTATAACATACTTTGTATGTAGGTTCATCATAGCTATAGCTGTCTTTTCCAAGCTTTGATCTTTGGGTGTTGAGACTTAGAATTTAGCAGTTTTTTTTTTTCTGTTGGGAACCTGCTCTTCTCTATCATGTAGCCTCACTTCCTCCACCATGGGAATGGAGGGATATATGACCCAAGCAAAGCTAATTATAGTGATTTTCCATGGGCTTGAGCAATAAGGTGACAAAGGATGAAAATATCTCTCCCAAGATTACAGACATTAGAAAGAATGTGAGCACAGAACATTGACATCTACATATATCTTCTATAATTAACCTTTGTCAGAAACATAGATGTTTAATAGATCAAGGGAGAATTCTAGGTACTTTGCATACATTTTCATTTTGTTGATCAATTCTTACAAATTCATAATCTCTAATGCTAGAAAAATAGAACTTATTGGTTGGAATAGCCTACATTTGACTGTGATAACCCCCAGATCTCCATAACTTACTAAAGGCATATGTCCACACTTGCCAAGCAGGTTCCCAACAGAAAAAAAAACTGATAAATTCTGGGCTGTATTAACACATACACCCTTTTTTATTTTTGAGACAGGATCTCACTAAGTTGCCTTGACTATTATTGAACTTGCTTTATAGCCCAGGTAAGCCTTTACCTTTTCCTCCTGCTCCAGCTTTCTGAGTAGCTGGAA